AGAATTAGGGGACCTAAATATTTGAGTTAGTGCTTTAGAATTAGGGGACCTAAATATTTGATGCAGTTAGTGTTTTAGGGCTAGTGGAACTAATTTTTAGACAAGTGCTGCCCACCACTGTGTACAATTAATCATCGGAAAAACAGTTGAAAATTAATATTTGCTACTTTGCAATTACTACAAGTATTCCCATGTGATGATGTTTTGTGCTCTTCAACTCCCAGCGTACTGTTTTAACCTGTTTAAATGAAGACTTTAGTTTGCCTGATGATTTGCAAATATGATTTTAGAACACAGGGTAACTGATTTAAAGTCAAAAAAATTTAATTTCTATTGTCATTTATTAATTGTTATTGGCTAAATACCACAATTATTTTTTTATTCTTTTGCCAACAATGCCCAAGAGGTATCCACAACTACAAACATTTATTTAAACCTTTGGTAAAATACACACTAAACATGATTTCTCCCCCCATTCCCTTTTTTTCCTTCATTTTCAAATAAGTTCCAAACCATAAAAAAAAAAAACTAACAAAAAAGTAAGCGACTATGTAATATTTGTTGGATGACATAATACATACGAGGGTAATGGATTGTTCTGCAGAAAAGTGTCAGGATCAGGAGCGTCCACCAGGGAGCAGAGCTTCTTTCCAGCGTTCTTCCCAAAAGAGCCGCGGAGCTTCTTCGCCAGTTTCTTTGGCGTGTTTACCAAGGTGAGCTCCTCCTCCAGGGAGCAGCTCCACAGCTCCACTCGCAGATCAAACTCGGGAACTACGTCTTTACTAAAGGGATGAGATTAACCACAAAATATGAGGAAAAAAACAATCAAGATGGGTTAAGATTAACAAACTAGAAGGAAAAACATTCCTAATTTCAGATTAATCAATGTTTATATGGGGGGAAAATTATGTTGAGCATTCGTTCCGGAAAGAAATCATGCAGCAGAGTAAAAGTGACAAGAAATATTTACAAGGCGGTGACTCCTTCAAAGCAGATGTCGGTGACGGATCTGTCCACCACGACCATCTCAGTGTCAAACACCTCTGAGCCAATCTGCATCAGACAGAACACCGCCACCCGACGAGAGCCTACCGGACACACGAGACACGCAGCAGGTGTTAGTGCAGGACGCTTATAAGAAATAACAAGAGGGAAAGTTATAGAACATGAGAAGCAGAAGGACAGACATACTCCCTTTATTATTAAAGTGATCCGAGTCCTTCCACAACAGAGGAAATCTCAAGCCTAAGTCAGAGAAAATAAAAAATGTTAATTTGCCTAAGAATACCGCAAGAATATCAATTTCTGATTGTGCTACGTATTTATAAAACATCATTACCAGTCACTGCAATGGTCCCATTACAAGGCAAACGATCATCTGTGCAACTGCAACAGTGTGGAACAAGCATTAGAATTCAGATGCAGAAAGTTTGTTTTTAAAATTGCCTTTTCAGTTTTTCTATCATTTCTTTCACTTTACTTTTCCCATCAGGGTTGCAGTACAGTTTTAAATTTTTACACTTTAAAAAAAAATCTGTTATAAAATGTGCAACTTAAGAGAGTTTTTCATTAATAAAAACCACAGCGATGAGTGAAGTCCTAACCTCCTCTCTACCCTCATCGCACCCTGCTCCTCTTTCTTCCTCTGCAGCTGTGCGAGGTAYGTCTTTATCCTGGCGTTGCAGGTCAGCAGGTTCTTGGAAGCGTTGAGGACCTGCTCTCTCTTACTGCAGGCGAGCAGCAGCTTGTAGGCCCCCTCACGCATTCGCATTTCAAAGTCGAGCTTCTCTTGAACATTAGTGGTCTTCATGGACGAAAATAGAAACACGAAAGTTATCAATGACTGAGTGAAACAGCAAAACTGTCCCAGTTAACTTGGTCACGGCAAACACTGTTTAGCAAAATCAAACTATGGGTTTTAGTTTTCCACATAAAAACTATCTAAAGTATTATAGAGATTTTTAAATTTAAGATAGATGGCATGCCATACTATTTAATTGTAACAATAATAAAAGGAAAAATAACTTAATTAAAAGCAACTTTTGTGGTAAAATAATGCATTCAATAAATGAGAGTTTATTTTAAAAATAGTAGTAGTTGATTTTAAATTGATGCAACACAAGTTGATATACCACTATTYATACACTTGTATTTGTTTACTCATTCTGTTTTATTTACTGGTCGTCCACACATGTTCATTCTTTTTATCCACATGGGGGTGCTGTTGCACCTTAAGCATCCCGACTTCCCAAGGTCTTGGTTAATTATTAATTTTGATTGGTGGGGGGCACATTAATTCAAATATAAAAGCATTTGTGTTCTGAATGCAGCTTTATGATGAAATCGTTCTCATTTAAATTCAAAGTACTTYTTCAGTGAATTTGATATACAATTTTGATCTTTGTGATGGATTAATTGTAAGTTACAGCAGCCATTTTTATAGGCAAATTTACGTTTTTTTTTTCTGCAATGTATTATTTTGAAAACTGGAGCACTATTACGCGTTTTAACGATGAAAAGTTAATTTGAGCGACGTTTGAGGACGAAAATAAAGAGGTACACTTTGCACAAAATCAATGAAAGGCTCAGGTTTCAGGAAGCGATGGTGGAGTGGAGTTGCTTTTAAATAAAGTTTGAGGAATAACTGGGGAATATAAAAACACAGTCTATTTAATAGACATGCTATTAAATTTGTATRATAAACAAGCAAATATTGTCTAGTTCGCATTCATTTGGTCGAAATTTAAACCTCGGCAAATGACAGTAAAACATACAAATCCGTCTTCAGCCTCTTTAAGCGTACCTCTGTCGGTAAAAACAAGGCGCTCTGTCGAATTTTCTTTCGTTTAATCTCCATATCCACGGCAGAACCGGCGGATATAAATGACTTCGAGCTGCCGTTTCGTTTTGAAACTTGAACGTCCCGCTGGTCGTCCATGTTTTCTGTCCATTCGTTRGTCAACATTCCAGCTGCGCCCCTTCAACCGATATGGAGCGGTTCGATTTGATTCACCCGAACTACCGGAGAAAATAAAATCAGCACAAAAAAGTACGAGCGGTTAAAACGTGTGCTTTTTTTGCTCTACTTTGTAACATGTTTTCGAATATTTAATTCAAAAATATAAATGTATGGATTCGTAAAAACTATTTAATGACATTTAAAGATTTATTCAGTTAAAATTTTAATTGAAATTCAAGCACTGATGCTAACATAAGCGTAGCATATCAGTTTGTAAGACTGATATGAAGCTGCAATTATAGACTTGTTTAAATATTGTTTAATTCAGATGTGATGTTCCTTGAAGAAAAAAAAATGTCTGCGCAATTTTTAAAAAAGGATCCAGGTTAAGGGGGCGGCTCATCCCGGTAACAAAACCCAGCGCTCCTACGCCTAAAAAAATCAGGAACGTCATTACGTCACGGTGCGTGATGTGATTTTGAAAACGTAACGCTTTAAAAACATTTCTTCTTTGTTTTGTTTGTACCTTTGACGGTAGTTTAATGTAGAACTGAGATTTCTCTTCGGAATAATGATAGCCATATTTAAATAAAATAATTAAAACACAGTTTTTGCTTAAGAAAATGCGTTTTGACAGGTTTGCATTGCATTTCTACGAACTAGTAATTGTTTAAGTAATGCACATCTTTACAAATTAAATTTAACATTTATTTTAGTTATAACCATTGTTGATGAATCCCTGCCCTCTTCGTTTAGAAAAAAAACATGCAGTAGCAGCAGCAGGTATACATAATTTCTGCCACCATATAACCAAACACTAATTAGATGACTGAAATAAACTAAGTGACATCAGTGGAAATCAATCTTAAAATTTACTGACATTAAACAAAAAATCTTTATTCAACATGTTATTAAGTTAAGGTAGAGAAAAGTAATTCATGCAGTAAAACATAACTATTTCGACCCCTCTGTGGGTCTCATCAGGCAGTGATGGCCTACATGTGCATTGCAGACATGTAGGCCATAGATACCTCCGCTATAGTTGTTTTGTTTTGTTTTGTTTTACTTAATTTTGTTTATTTTTTACTTTTTTGGGAGATGTGTGTGTGGGAAGAAATTGAAGAAATTGTTTTATCGCGAGATTTCTTTTTTAAAAACTCGATTACTAGGTAAAATTAGCATATTTCACAACAAAACAAAATAAAGTATTTTAAAACACTTTGGAAATAATTCGTTGATAAAACGAGAAAAAAATCACCACTTTAAATGGTTTAATTATCATTTTAAAGTTATTTAAGCAATTTTTTTCTTTTTATGTTATGTGTTTGTCATCATTTAGAAACAGTTTAGATCAGGAAAATATGACTTGAATCCATATCAGTCATCTTAATTTTTCAAAAGCATTTCTCTCTTTCCTTTGCGTGTTCAATAGTATGGAAGCCCATTTCCGCCACCCTGATAAAAAAATAAAACTTGTATCTCATAATTATGACTTAGCTATCTCATAATTATGAGATACTATCTCATAATTATGAGATAGCTAAGTCATAATTATGAGATACAAGTTTTATTTATTTTTTTTATCAGGGTGGCGGAAATGGGCTTCCATACAATAGGAACCATATAAACAGTCTGTAAATCCTGGAAACCAGAAATTGATTTCTATAATGAACAAGTTTTTTAGCCGAACTGATGTGCTGTGCCAGCTGCGCAGGCAAGGTGGTGCTGCAGTAACAAAGAGCTCGGAACATGACTGGTGAGGTCCAGGAAACCCGCCCACCTGGTTCTTGAGGCGGCTGAGTTGGAAGCATCCACGTTTTGGAAGTGTAGACGCAGGCGCTGCAGAGGATGAACAGAGACAAGTTAGCCAGAGAAAAACATAAAACACCGGAAATGACGGAGGTTAGTTTCAAATTAAAAGATGCGTTTTAGTAACTGGAAAGGAAAGCATCTGCTGTAACCTTGAGTCAGGCAGTTTGTGTAGAATTATGTCAAGTACACGGCCATCTGTTGGGCATTTTCTGTGAAACTCTGTCAATCTCCTTCATAAAATAAAAAAATCCAAGTTAGGAACTTTTTTAAAAAACATTCAAATATTTTTTTCTCCAGTTCTGTTTATTTGTTGTCTGTACACTAAATATGTGCAAATAGGATCCATATTATAACCCGTATTATAGCAGTTTATAAAGGACAGAATTGTTTTACTTTTTGAAAATAAATTGTGCTTTTCATTTATTTTTATTTTTATACCTTGCCTTATAATCCATTAGATACATGTTTGTTTTGTTAATGTATTATTTTAACTTTTTAAAACTTTACATCATAATTTGAATTTGAAAAAATATACTATTTAAATGCAGTGTTTCTAGCTTTTCCATAGTTTTTACATCTGATCAATATTTGGAATACCATTTTTGGCACTAAACAAGAAATGTCAAAACCTTCATCATATGAGATATTAAGTCATAACAATAACTTGTGGGTTTGTGTTTCATATTTGGGACATGGCCCATCAGTTGTTATTACGATTCAAAATCTTACACTTATGTCCTGATGCATCTCAGTAATCCAGGTAAAAAAATCAAAAAGAAAAAAATTGTATAGGTCTTCTGGACGGGTTCTTCTCTAATGAAACGTTTCGTCTCTCCTCCAAGAGACTTCTTCAGTCTGAGAGTTTCAGGCAAAATTCAGGCTTTTAAGCCCTGCCTCCATGTGACTGATACTCACATCACATGGCTATCATTGACACCTAATTAACACTTATTGTTAACAGGGGGTGGAGTGATACTGGCAATGGCCGCGCTGTAGGAGGGGGACAACTGAAAACGGAGGCCTCCACCTCTGTTTAAYGATGGACGGTCTTTCTTCACAAAAATGGTTTCTTTTACTCCTCTCTCAAACCAACGTTCCTCTCTWTCAAGAATGAGAACATCCTCATCTCTGAAAGAGTGACCGCTGGCCTGTAAATGAGTGAAAACTGCAGAGTTCTGGCCATTAGATGTAGCTCGTCTGTGTTGGGACATTCTTTTGAACAGTGGCTGCTTTGTTTCCCCGATGTATAACTGGTCGCAGTCCTCCTGGCACTTAACAGCATATACAACATTGCTCTGTTTGTGCCGGGGCACCGGATCTTTGGAGTGAACCAGCCTTTGCCGTAATGTGTTTTGGGGTTTGAAAGCCACTGGGACATCATGTTTAGAAAATAAACGTCTCAGTTTCTCCGAAACATCCACAACATACAGAATAACCACTGGTTTGGGTCTGGGTTTGGGGTCTTCATTTTCACCTGAAGGTTGCATGGAATCCTGTCTGTGTTTCCTGTCTGCTTTCAGGAAAGCCCAGTCAGGATAACCACACTGCTCCAGGGCCTGTCGTGTGTGTGATTTATCTTTCTGCCTGGCTCCTGGGTTTGTAGGGACACTGTCTGCTCTGTGGTACAGAGTCCTGATCACTCCTAACTTGTGTTCCAGTGGGTGGTGGGAGTCAAAACGCAAATATTGGTCTGTGTGGGTGGGTTGGCCATTGCCAGTATCGCTCCACCCCCTGTCAACAATAAGTGTTAATTAGGTGTCAACGATAGCCATGTGATGTGAGTATCAGTCACATGGAGGCAGTGCTTAAAAGCCTGAATTTTGCCTGAAACTCTCTGACTGAAGAAGTCTCTTGGAGGAGAGACGAAACGTTTCATTAGAGAAGAACCCGTCCAGAAGACCTAYACAATWTTTTTCTTTTAGATTTTTTTTGGTTCTTACACTTATGACTTTGAAACTCGTGAATATTTTTACCTTTTTATGGTGGCAGAAATGGTCTTTATACCTAGGTTCAGGTAGTTACCGTATGTTTATTWAAAAATGCTCATCTCATGAACTAAATGATTTAAAATGCTCACTGGAGTTTGCATCTGTATTTATAAAAAAATACTCTTTTTCTAATTTAGATTGCAGTCCACAATTTTTAAACCACCAGTATTTTTGCCTGCAGGTAGACAAACTTTATTTTTTATTTCAAAGCGGTCTGGATATTGTTTGACTAAATAAAGTATGTCTCCGCATCCTGTTTTCTCCTTTTTTTTTTTCTTTTATTCTGAAAGTTGTGACCGGAAGCAGTTACTCGTGGCTCGCGCCGCCGTTATTTTGCAGGGAGTAGCTTATTGCCGAGCAACGGAGGAAGGGAAGGCTAGCTCTGTGGAGGCAGGGCTGGACACACACACACACCTTCAACAGCGACACACAGCAAAAACAGCAAAAAGAAAAGGGTGAGTCACAACTAAACCTCGGTTTTGTGTAGGAAACAGTATAATAAATACACATAAAGTAGATTTGTGCTCGGCAGTAGACCGTTTTGATGAAGTTACGGTAGAGAAAAATAGAAATAGTCGATTTCAGCCCTTTTTTTTGCTGCACATCCTGATTCAGAGCGCTTGAATTGATTCGAAATTCCTTCTGGCGACACATTTATTAAACCACTTCTATTTTCAAACCATACAAGCTTATTAGAATTGACTGCACACATTTTTATTAGCTATACTGCTCTGAAAAGTAACGGCTTGACACTGCTGGCTAAGTGGATGGCTACTATTGTGACTGAGCTGCATCATGACGAGCCTGCCCTGCTCCTCCTTTGTATAACGTCCCAGACTCACTTTGTTACTTTTATTAAAACGCTGGACACGTTTTTTGTTTGTTTGTTTGTTTGTTTGTTTGTTTTTACTCACTGATTTTATTCAAGTCAGTAACACTCTTGACTCCTTTTGGATCAGTTGCATCCTTCCGTGGCCTCTTGCACATCACTGAAGGTCGTTCACACATTGAGCGCTTTGTTTATCTTTTTATGAAGAAAGGCTACCTCTGAGGGCCTCTTTAAGCCTACAAATATAGTGCCTGGAGGATTGATTTTATCAACAGATAGTTCAGTATTTATCACAAATGTAGAGTGTTTTTGCCTGTGTTTGGACCCCCTCCTCATTTTCTGTGTAGAGGCTTTGTTTTTGTGGGGCAGATGTTGCTGGCC